GGCGGGGAAGGGCAGGGGCTCTGGGCCGTCTCAAGGCCCCGGGCCGCCTTGGCTGGGCAGCCGGGCCCTCGTGTCCCCGCGTCATCCCGGGAGGGCCAGAACGTTGGCAAGACCTGGGAGCCCGGGCAGGCAACCAGAGCGCGGACGCGCGAGTTGGGATCTGGGCGAAGAGTCCATGGGCCGCGGGACTGGGGAGGCCCCTGGCCCCGCTGGCAGGCGCCACGCGAGCCCCATCCCAGGGCAGCTGGCCTGGATGGGGGCGGGTAGGTGCGGGGAGCCGCTCCCGGCCGGCAGTGGAGGCTGCTTCGCGGAGCTGAGGGACCGGGAGAAATGGAGGTGCCGCGGGCCAGAGAGACCAAGGTCGCCGAGAAGAGAACCATTCTTTCAAGATTTCCAGGGGCGACCGTGATCCGCTTCCCTTTGGGGAAATACAGAGGGCAACAAGGACCCGTAGGCTCCCAAGGGCCGGGTGCCTACGGAGGAGCTCTGACTTGTCTTAGCAGTTTGCTAACATTGTGCAACTATTGTTTAAAAGAGCGATCGAGCCACCTAGTAAAGGCTTTCTTTAAAGGGAAAGAAAATTCTGTTTTATAATTCTGTGTCCACAGTGATTTTCAGATAATTAGCTGCCGTGCTGAGAGGCTTACTTAAAACTCAACAGTATGCCAAAGGCAGCATCCATCCCACGCCCCAGCCAACTACCACGAGAAGGTGCAACCTGGGGAATGAAAAGGGCCTCTTTGCTGCACTGGCTTCATGGGCACGTGACCTGTGCAGACAGACACCGAGGGCCTGGCACTTAGCGGGACTTGTCATTGGTGCAGCACTCTGCTCTTGTGCTGTTGAAGCTCTTTAATTTGAGCACAAGGGGCCTTGCGTTTTCATATAGGGCTGGGCAAGTTTTGTAGGCTGTCCTGCACTATTTTGTACCCCCTGCCCCTTCTTTTTTAGTTTATAAGCATAATGCGTTAAAGTAGCTTATTATTGAAAATAATAAAATATTTTATACTCGGGGAATGAGTCTATTACCTCACATTTAGCTTTCTGAAGTTTATGTGAATAGTGAGCTTGAGACCTCAGTGTTTGCATGCAAACACAACTGTATTGAAAATATTAAATATTGCCATATTTTATCCCCTTTAAAAATACTCTTTAAATTCCACACAATCTGAACAAGAAAACCATATAACCTCAAATTATATCACCTATAATTAAAATGAAGCTCTAGTAATTATTTATTGTGTTAAATGTGTCAAACAACAACATTTAAAGGATTTTCCAGCAAAACAGGAAGTTCTTGTGCAGGGTACTCTTAATAGGAGCAAGTTCCTGAAAGGTGTGTGTCAATGTATTTGACTGACTTTAAGTATACAAAGGGTTATTTAAAGGAATTCTCTGGGAAAAAATTCTTTTTGCAAAGCAAATAGAGCCTCCTGATTAATCCATTCTTTTACTCTAGGGTTTTCATAGGCTCATTTCACCTAAACCAGTCTAATTATCTGACCTTTGTCTGGAGTGTAGGATTGATGAGGTCCTAGATCAATCCTCATCAAGGCCAGTTTGCTTTCACTGGTCTCTGGACAGGGTCTGTCACTTCCCTACTGCTGCTAGTATAAAAGCACACTTTTTATCTTAAGGCAGAACTGTGAGAAATTTCTAGTGAATCAAAAGCTGTTATCCAGAGCTACAGATGTAGCTCAGTAGTAGAGTGCTTGCCTAGCTTGCAGAAGGCCCTGGGTTCCATTGCCAGTATCAGAACAATAAAAATGTCATCCTTGTTTGAGTATTTTAAAAGTATACTTTTAAATGAGTGTGTCATCTTTAACTAAATCAAAGAGTACTTTGGAGATTTGTGAAAGTAAATGGGGCATCAAAGTCAAATCAGATAACAGAATTTAAAGGGATTTTTGACCTCCTTCCCTTTAAACTGTGTAGTTGTTCGTAAAGATAACTCTAAAATACAAATAATAGCAATGAGTGAAAAGTTTTCCAAATTACCCCAAAGCCAAAAAGAGATCCCAAAGTTATTTAAATTATATTCAGAGGATGTTATCTTTTGGAAGATATAGCTTTGTCTTCTGTTTTAAAAATCATATTTGATTGCTTTTAGCCAAATAACATTTCAAAACTTATAGATTCTACATTCAGCAATGCACATATGTACATAAAGGAAAAAATATGGAAGAAAACTGAAAATATGCTCAACACCTTGAAGTAGTTATGATAGCTGTGTGGAATGAATATGGGTAATCATTACTTTCTTTTTGTATTTTCCTGTGCTTAACATAATGAGAATATGTAAGTTAATAAAAAGAAGGCATTTAAAAAATATATTTTTAGCCAGGGTTGGTGGTATATGCCTATAATCCCAGTGGTTGAGAAGGCTGAGTGAGGCAGGAGGATCATAAGTTCAAGCCTCAGCAATTTGGTGAGGCCCTAAGCAACTTAAAGAGATCTGTCTCAAAATAAAAGGGCTGGAGATGTGGAAAAAAAAAGAGAGAGAGAAATTCTAAAACACTGAAAAAGCAAATTAGCATTGATTTTGGAGCATGGAAAAGTTGCTTTTTGCCAAACAGCTTCATAAATGATCAGCAATATTTTATCATTTTTGTGCCTAAAATTATTGTTAAGTTAAATTTTTTTAAGAAGATCATGCAAAAAGAATAAACATTACAAAGGTTTGATTTCCCCACCCCTACTTTGCACCCAGTCCCGCACTTGCTCTTAAATGAATAAGTTCCGGTTACCCTCAAGGAACATCTGTTATCAAGGACAGAATCCAGTATTATGCATCTGACTCTCCAGTTGTAGAACTCTGTAACTCAGACCTTGACTCTGTAACGGGGGCTCACCCAGTGCTTTGACTATATCCCTTGTGGCTTTGAAACTTACATGTTTTCTTTTTTCCCAGTCTTCTTCTCCCTGTTCTTCTTTTCTCTAAGCATTTCCCTTATCTCCTCTGATCTCTTCTCTAAACTTGTCCTCCCTGATTTTCTTTTCCCTGATCCTTTCCTTCCTGATCTCTCCTCCCTAATCTCATTTTCTCTGAATCACTACTATAAAAGCCCCCTATTCCCCCTAATGGGAAGAATCACACTTTGGGACAGGAGTCTTCTGTGTTTCTCCTTTGCTGGCAAAGCAATAAACCATCTTTTTCCTTTTCCTCAAAACTGTGTCCTCGTTATTGGATTGGCATCATCGTGGACAAGGACCCAGCTTTCAGCAACAACAGGATACTGAAATGACATCATGTTAGGATTGAATCGATGAGTGTGGTTTGGAAGCAGATGCCAATGAGATCCGTATAAGCTTGATCTGATGGAATTATCTACATGGGGCACACATGATTACCTTATATTATGTATTTAGTATAACCCATGTATTTAAAGTTTTGATGGAAGACTTAATCCTGGAGATTGGTGTGAGATTTTCAAATGAGCCATGAGCTCCCCACATAGAGGGGACCAGGTATAAATCCAGGCCTTACAGCTCTACATTTGGGCCTGGTGCACTGTTGATCCATGGCAAGGGGAAGTCTTCATTTCATTTCTTTTTTTTTTTTTTTCCAGTTGTAGATGGACACAACACCTTTATTTTCTTTGTTTATTTATATGTGGTGCTGAGGATTGAACCCAGGGGCTCATGTATGTGAGGCAAGTTTCTACCACTGAGTCACAACCCCAGTCCAGGGGAAGTCTTCATTTCTAACCTATTTGTGTTCATAAAACATCATCCTATGGATGAAGTCATGATTTCTGCCCAGACTTTAGCTTCCAGAGAGAGAAAGAGAGTCAAAAGAGAAGTTGTTTCCCTTTTTCCAGTTGTAAATTTGACTTTTGCTATCTCTGTCATTTCAGCCCAGATCCTAGTTGTAATTTGCCTGGGTGAATGATCAAAGTCAGTTTCTGTACTCCCAGCACATACCAACAGTTGGAGGCAGGAGGTGACTGGCATGGATAAATTATCCCCAAACTGAAATTTTTCTGTAGATAAGCTGGAAATAACTAAATTCTGCCAAGAGTTACAGTTCTTACTTTTATAGACCTCTCTCTCTCTCTTTCTCTGGTACTGGGAATTGAACACAGGATGTTTTTATCACATCCCAGTCTTTTTTTTTTTTTTAACTTTATTTTATGGCAGGGTCTCACTGAGTTGCTTAGAGTCTTGCTGAATTGCTGAGGCTGGCCTTAAACTTGTAATCCTCCTGCCTTATCCTGCCCTGTTGCTGGGATTAAGGGGGATTGGGGGGGCCTACCACGCCCAGCTTAGTGACTTCTTTAATATTTCAAAGAGATCACACAGATGCTTCAAAAACTACTTTAAAAAAAAAATGGGGAAGGGCTGGGGTTATGGCTCAGTGGTAGAGCACTTGCCTAGCACATGCAAGGCCCTGGGTTCAATCCTCAGCACCACATAAAAATAAATAAAGGTATTGTGTCCAACTACAACTAAAAAAATAATAATAATTAAAAAATTGACATGGGGAAGATTTCTACATACTGATATGGAGTGATCTGCGTAATATTTCGTCAAGCTAGAAAGCAAGGTGCCAAACCATAAAATGGCATCCTATTTGGGGAGTCGGGGGGGGGGGAAGAGAAATACGAATGTAGGTGAAAAA